AATGACAACATGAAGCACAGGAAATTATCTTGGTGAAACACAGAATCTGTTTTGTAGTCCAATTACCTAAAAGGTAAAGGAAAACCTTTCACAATTTCTTATTAAAAGCAGACCAATCAATACTCCAAGAAAACCTGTTTTAACAGAGAGGACCAAATTCTGGTTTTGCATCAGTGTACTTTTGATATTAATGATCAATTTTTAGAAAAACTTATAAAAAATTCCCTTCTAGTCTTAGCCAGCTCAATCACACATAAAATTTATCTTCCACAAACTTTCTACAACTTTCATTTTCATTCAGTTTTTCTTCTACACTTTTCCCTTCTCATTTTGGAACAACCAGCCATTCTACTTTAGGACAAAAGTTACTCTCTTTTTTCCTTAGCAAAACAAAACATCCTCATACCTTATAGGTTTTCCTTACCAAAAGCACATCTTACCTCCCTTGTATACAATTGGCTCTCCATATTTGTCGGTTCTGCATCCATGGATTCAACCAATTGCAAACTGAAAATATTCAGAAAAATATTGCATCTGTACTGAACACGTACAGACTTCTTTTTCTTATTATTCCCTAAACAATACAACAACTATGTATGTAGCATTTTCATTGTATTAGGTATTATAGGTAATCTAGAGATGATTTAAAGTATATGGGATGATGTGCATAGGTTATATGCAAATATTATGGCATTTTATATCAGGAACTTGAGCATCCATGGATTTTGGAATCTGCAGGAGGTCCTGGAAGCATTCCCTCACAGATACTGAAAGACCACTGTGCTTGTATATAGCATTTTTTCCTTATTGTTTCTAGTAATTTTAGTTACATATATTACTTGAAATTCATAACCTTTAGTGACCTTAATTTCCAGTGAACACTAGGAAGCAAGCAATTATAAACTGTCACACCAGAAATCGGTAGATTGGCAAAACTGTGAATCATAATTTCTAGAAGCATGTGCTTTCTCATAGTACAATTTGTTAATGTGGCACAGAATATGTCTACTAAAGTCTCAACTATCTTTAGTCTCTGTAATAAGAAACTGTAAAGGAGGCTAAATTTTATCTCTATCCTGTTTTTTTTTTTTTTTTTGGCTAGGCCTGAGAATGAAATTGTTGTTGCACAGATTTCCCTCAGCCTCAACTTTCTATTCTGATGATAAGAATATTAGAATGTTCTGGTGTTTTAGTCCATTTTGTGTTGCTATAACAGAAATACCTGAAACTGGGTAATTTATAAGAAGGGAAGTTTATTTAGCTTATGATTCTGGGACAGCTGCATCTGGCACAGGCCTCAGGCTGCTTCTACTCCTGGCAGAAAAGCGGCAGGCAGCCAGCAGGTACAAGCAGATCACATGGCGAGAGGAAGCGAGAGAGAGGAAGCAAGAGAGAGAGAGAGGAGGTGCCAGGGGCCTGTATACAACAAACTCGTGGGAACTAGTAGAGCGAGAACTCACTCACTACCCCTCCTCCCCCAGGGAGAGCATTAATCCATTCATGAGGGATCCACCCCCATGACTCAATCAGTTTCCAACACTGCCACATTGGAGATCAAATTTCCACATGAGTTTTGGAGGGGACAACACATCCAAACTCCATCATCTGGTATAGGAAAGACATCTTTTACATAGGGATTTTATCTTATATTGTTTGGATTGCTTATAAGATGAGACATTAAACAGCTAGCCATCAACTTAAGTTATTTTTCTTGCTGACAAATTTTGTAATATAGAGATAACATAAGCTTGTTTTACCAGTAAACCTAGGTAGGAAAAGTCAGTGCTGAAAACTGTGAAGACATGCCTGTTTTAATCAAACCAACAATATTCATATTTACCAAATATTAAATCCTAAGTCATGTAAATGTGAATAGCATTTGGGTAAGTTCTTAATTTTCTGAGAGAATACATCATTAATATATGCCCTTGTTTTTCTTAAAGCCAATTAAATAGAGCTATTTTACAATTTTATTTGGCAGTATCATAAGGAGATAAAAATCACACGTATGTATCTTACATACAAATGTACATAAACATATAAACAAAAACAAATCTAATTTAAAAATTTTAGCCATAATACAAAACTCACTAATTTGTTAAAGAATATCTGGATCCAAATTGTTTTTCTAGCCAATGGAAGAAGGTTGCCTGCCCGATGTCTAAAGCTTTTGAATAAAACTTGTGAAAAAGACTTTTAAGATTTTTTTCATTTGCCTTCTGTAAGGAAACTTCTGAAGAGGCACTCTTTGATTCATTTAATATTTTAGATGACACTGTGTACCAATTAAAGAATGCATCTCATTGCTTTTGTGGCATTTAGTATCCTCTCTTTTCTTTTTTTTTTTTTTTTTTTGTCCTTTTTGAGACCGGCCGCACCGCGCTCAGCCAGTTAGCGCACCGGTCATCCCTATGTAGGATCCAAACCCGCGGCGGGAGCGCTGCTGTGCTCCCAGTGCTGCACTCTCCCGAGTGCGCCACGGGCTCAGCCCTTGTATCCTCTCTTTTCTAATGCACTTTGCAAGTGAACAATTTTGTCTAGGTTAAAACTTCTCCATGTGGCCACTATAATTCTAAGTTGTCCTTAGTAAGATTAACCCATTTTTACAAAAATACACAAGTTTTGGGGGCTGTAATTTTTTTGCATAAAGTTAGCTAGTGTCCCAGAAAGTGGAGTCCCAGACTCCTTAGATTTGGAAGAAGGAGCCCATGTTCAAAAGGTGTCTGCCTGAGGCCTCAAACTAGATCCAATCCAGTTAATTATCAGATCCAATTTGATCTAGCACCAGTCCAGTCTAAGAAATGCTCAAATAAACTCAGAGAGCTCAAAACACAGATTCATTCTGGAATCAGAGCAAGAACTCACCCACGACCTCTGGTTGCTGTGAGAGATGAATGAACCCAATGAACCCTGGCAGGTGCCTTTGCTTGACCACTTGGTGCTCCTGGGGTTGCTGGGTTTCTCCTTTGGATCCCACTTCTGACAACAATCTGTTAAAAGGGAAACTTTTGGCTGGCCAGTTAGCTCAGTTGGTTAGAGTGTGGTGCTGGTAACACCAAAGTCCAGGGTTCAGTCCCCGTACTGACCAACTGCCCCCTGCCAAAAAAAAAAAAAAGAGAGAGAAAGAGAGAGAAAAACTTTATCCATACTTAATTTAGTAAAGTTTATTTGAGCAAAGCAATGATTCATGAATTGGACAACATTCTGAACAAATATAGTTTCAGAGAACTCCACCCAGCAATGTGCAAGGCAGTATTTATAGACAGAAAAAGAAGTCAGATGTAGAAAGAGCCTAATTGATTACAACTTGACCTTCGCCTTATGTAGACATGGTCTGTGCAGTTTGCAGCCGGTAATTGACTGAAAGCTCTGCAACCATGATTGGCTGAGACTCAGCTACTGGTTATAAGAATATACCCTCAAATTAGGTTGCAGTTTGTTTATATATTAAGTTATGTTACAGTTTATTACATACGGAGGCAGTTTGAAGCCAATTTAAATTATTTAACACTTTCAGCTTAGACACAAACCAAATCAAATTAGCAGAGAAAAAGGGAAAATCAGAAGACTTATGTGCATGCATAACTTTGATAAAGATAAAAATGTTAATCATTTAAATTGGCAATTAGAAGGTAGTTGTTTATATCATCAGGTAATAGTTGTTTCTAGGTAGATGGGATTGTCGGTGGTTTTTCTTTTTACTTATTTTTTTCTGAGCTTTCTGTACAGAACACCTAATGCTTTGCAAGAAGGAAAAAAGAGATTAGTACATTGGTGATCCTGGATGAAACAATCTCAGTAAAACATCTTTCTTTAAAAGTTCTTAGGTATAGTTATAGTCAAAGGCAAGAGATAGTCTGTCAAATGCCAGTAGGGTGACCAAATATCCTGGTTTGCTAAAATTGAGCAGTTTCGGGCCGGCCCGTGGCTCACTCGGGAGAGTGCGGTGCTGATAACACCAAGGCCCCGGGTTCGGATCCTATATAGGGATGGCCGGTTTGCTCACTAGCTGAGCGTGGTGCTGACAACACCTAGCCAAGGGTTAAGATCCCCTTACCGGTCATCTTTTAAAAAAAAAAAAAAGATTGAGCAGTTTCGGGCCGGCCCGTGGCTCACTCGGGAGAGTGCGGTGCTGATAACACCAAGGCCCCGGGTTCGGATCCTATATAGGGATGGCCGGTTTGCTCACTAGCTGAGCGTGGTGCTGACAACACCAAGCCAAGGGTTAAGATCCCCTTACCGGTCATCTTTTAAAAAAAAAAAAAAGATTGAGCAGTTTCCCAGGACACCAGACTTTCGTTGCTAAAACCACAGCAGTCCCACCTAAACTGGGATAGTTCACATCACGGTAGACTTTGTAATTTGCAAAGCTCTCTCCGCATCTCTTGTTCCTGTGAGTACCACACCCACCCAGTGAGGCAGGTGGGGAGGCCATTTTAAAGGAGAGGCAAGTAAGGCTCAGGGAAGCTCCTTGTCCCTTAACTGGGAGAGATCTATAGGAGAAGCGGGCTTTTGAACTATGTGTATATGTCACGTAGATAAAATTTTTTAAAAATTTTTTTCTTTTTAAAAAAGAATTGGATCTAGAATGACAGAAAGCAGATGAGCCTAAGAGGGGTGGCCTGCAAAGGAGCACAAGGGAACCTTAGAACGATGAAAACAGGTTATATCTTTATTGCGGTAGTGGTTTTGCAGTTATATACAACTGTCAAAACTCATTGAATCATACACTTTAAATGGGTGCAGTTTATTGTACTTAAATTATACTGCAGTTAGAGATAGAGAGAAAATGAGGAAATGGGGCAGCCGTGACCTCCTTGGAGAGCTCACACTCAGGACAACACCAGCTCATGTGCAAACTTAGGCTCTCTCAACCTTATCCATCTTCCACCACACCCCAGTCTCTGACAGAGCTCTCTCTGGCCCAGCCACCTGCCCCTAGGGAGAGCCCAATTCTTTAGGAGGCTGCCACAGCACTGAATTTTCTTCTCTGTTTCCAGGATTCCAACTTATCTGTGCACACAGACAACCCGGACCTCACCCCCTGCTTCCAGAACTCCCTGCTGGCCTGGGTCCCCTGTATCTACCTGTGGGCCGCCCTGCCCTGCTACCTGTTCTATCTGCGGAACCACCATCATGGCTACATCATCCTCTCCCACTTGTCCAGGCTCAAGACGGTCAGGGGCTCAGGGCTGTCCTATGGGTGGGGCTAGGGCCTAGGAGAGTCTGATTTTAATGAGCTGCTCCCCTACCCCAACCCTCAGCTGGCCTAGGTTCTCCACCCGCACCTGCCCTGCAGCTCAGGGCCATGGCAGCCTGGCAACCGGGTCTGCCCCAGCTGAGATATTCCCTGCTTGGGGAGGTTTAAGCCAGTTCAACCACACTCTCTCCACTCCCAAGAAGCTTCTGGCCAGTACTCTTCCCAGCCCTCACAGCCAGGCCCAGGCAGGTCTGGTGGCTTCTAGTAGTTTGGGTCTGCCCCAGCTGAGATATTCCCTGCTTGGGGAGGTTTAAGCCAGTTCAACCACACTCTCTCCACTCCCAAGAAGCTTCCGGCCAGTACTCTTCCCAGCCCTCACAGCCAGGCCCAGGCAGGTCTGGTGGCTTCTAGTAGTTTCAGGAACAAAGGTCCTTCCCCAGCAGGGATTGTCCCTGCCTCTGGGGATGGGGGCTCCAACGTGTGCCCTGTTCATAGGCCCTGGGCGTCCTGCTGTGGTGTGTTTCCTGGGCAGATCTTTTCTACTCCTTCCATGGCCTGGTCCACGGCTGGCCCCCTACTCCCATCTTCTTTGTCACCCCCCTGGTGGTGGGGATCACCATGGTCAGTGTGGGGCCCGGGAAGCTGGGTGGGGGAGGTCTTCAGTGGGTTGTGGATTGTGTCGGGGGAACCGTGGGCTCTAAGGAAATGGCTGGACACCTTGAGGGTGGGAAGAGGATGGGGGTGAGCCCAGAAACTTCTGGCCACATGGAGTGGGGAGGAGCAGAGGCAGGTCCATATGTGTGTGCCCTGCCTGGGCCTCCCCTGCCCTCCCTGCACAGCTGCTGGCTACCCTGCTGATCCAGTACGAGCGGCTGCGAGGGGTGCGGTCCTCGGGGGTCCTCATCATCTTCTGGTTCCTGTGTGTGATCTGTGCCATCATCCCCTTCCGCTCCAAGATCCTTTCAGCCAAGGCAGAGGTAAGGGGGCAGGAACCTGCCAGGTCCAGCCCTGGCTGGGGGGATGCCCTCAGGACCCAAGGTCACTGCAGCCCCTCTGGCTCCCAGGACCTCCTCTGTTCGGTGCTCTTCACATCCTCCCCCACTTGCTGCACCTCTGCCTGCATGCAGGCGGGGGCGGTGGGGGGCGTGTAACACGGGGGAATGCGACAAAGATGCTGCTGTTGCTGGCTGCTCATGGGAATGCAGGGTGCTGTTCCAAAGCCCCACCTCCACCACCACCACGTGCTGTGTCTGACATGGTGGTGGTGTTTGGGTGGAACACTGGGGGTCATCCCAGTGCCTCCCCATCTCTCCATCTCAGGGGGAGGCAGTGAAGGAGAGTAGCTAGGAGTACAGGCTCTGAACACACCGCTTACTCCATGTGTGTGGTCTTGGGCGAGTTGCTTAACCCTCTGGAGCCTCATTTCCTCAGTTGCAGAATGGGTATATCCTGCCCGTAGGCGGTCACCCCGTTAGACAAGGCAACGTCGGGAACATGCTGGCACAATGCCTGTGCAGGGCAAGTCCTCGCTGAGCTGCAGTCCCCGTATGATCCTTCCTACCTCTCAGCACCCTCTGGGTGGAGACCTGGAGAGCCCCGGGGTCTGCCCTTACCCGGAGGGGCCTGATGCCCCAAGGCTCCCCTGGATTCTGACACCTGCCCCGCTCTCCTGCCCAGGGCCAGATCTCAGACCCCTTCCGCTTCACCACCTTCTACATTTTCTTTGCCCTGGTGCTCTCGGCCCTCATCCTGTCCTGCTTCCGGGAGAAGCCGCCGTTTTTCTCCCCCAAGAATGTTGACAATGTGAGTCTGCCATGGTGGATGGGGGGTTTTCATGGCTCACTCCCCAGCCCAGCCCTGACCAGCACCCCCCATCCCTTCCAGTTCCTTCTAAAGGGGGAGAGATGTCTTGGCCACAATCTGTAAACTGGGGCTTGGAGCAGGAAGGAATGGGGGCCCCTCCTTCCTCTACCTGCTTGGAGAAGGTGGTGGGCACTCCTGATTGCCCCATCCCACTCTCTCACCTCTAGAACCCCTGCCCAGAGGCCAGCGCCGGCTTCCTCTCCCGCCTGTCTTTCTGGTGGTTCACAAAGTGAGTTGGCTCTTCCTCCAGCCTGGGCCAGAGGAGGGGGAGAGAAGGGAGGTGGAAGGCCAGCAGTTCAGGGGCCTGAGGTGCTGGGCTTGGCTGGCACCTACCCCACCCCAGGAGGCGTGGGCAGGTGAGGATGGGGAAACGTATCCTCTTGGGCCAGGGGCTGAGTGCAGAGTCCAGGCCTGGCCCAGCTCCACTCCCAGGCTACTGGCCAGCTCCGCATCTGGCAGGCCACAGGGACAGGCCCGGGGCTGGAAGGAGACCATAATTAGTTCCGAGCTCTTCTGTCTGAGATAGGCTTGCAGCTTGTCATCTCCTTGGCTGCCCCTCAGAGTGGCTGGAGCAGGATAATTGTGTCTGTGACTTGGGCGACAGCTCATTAACCGCAGCGCACTAAGGAAGCACCCGAGGCTGAGGCTTGAACCCACCATGTCTCGCTCTTGCCCAGGGCCAAAGCCAGCATGGATTTCACCACCAGGGCATAGGGGGAGATGGGGGCATTTGTGGGGGGGAAGGAGAAGGGGTCAGAGGTGGGAGCTTGGGAGGGGAGAGGCAGTAACCTCCAGCCTGTTCACTGTGGGCATAAAGGAGACACCTCCCTTGGTCACAGCTCCCGAGGGAGACTCTCCTTTCTGGAGACCCTGGGGCCCTGGTGACACTGGCCCCCAGCTCCAGGCTGTCAAATTCTGACCCTATCTGGGGCTGCCTGCCCACCCCCACCTCCCCGCCCAGGATGGTCATCCATGGCTACCGGCATCCCCTGGAGGAGAAGGACCTCTGGTCCCTGAACGAGGAGGACACCTCCCAGTCGGTGGTGCAGCAGCTACTCAAGGCGTGGAAGAAGCAGCAAAGGCAGGCAGTGCAGTAAGGCCTCCCGCATCCCTGTGCCTGTCCCACGTCCCCATGCCCCTCCCAGGTCCCCATGCCCCCTCTGCCCAGCCCCTTACATTCCCTAGTCTCCTGCAGATGAGGCTGGTGGGCCTGGGATGGTCACATCACTGGGGTAGGGAGAGGAGCAGGCACAGGTGGTTTCTTGGTGGGTCAGGACCATGAGGTGGGAGGCATAGGCCAAGGTGGAGCCAGTTCTCCCAGCTCTGCTGAGGCCATTAGAAGGGCTGATGCTCTGGGCCGGCCCAGTGGCGCACTGGAGAGTGCACTGCTTGAGAGTGCGGCGGCGCTCCCACCGAGGGTTCGGATCCCATGTGGAGACCGGTTCCCACTCACTGGCTGAGCGCGGTGCGGACGCAACACCGAGGGTTGCGATCCCGTTGCCGGTCAGTAAAAAAGAGACAAAAAGGAAAAAAAAAAAGAAGGGCTGGTGCTTTTGTAGCACTTATTCTATCCCAGGCCTGGTCTTAAGTGTGTAGATGGACTCATTTAATCTCTCAACCACCCACCCTAGTGTCCCCACCTGTAACATGGGACGACAAAAAGGAAAGGAGACCGGTTCCCACTCACTGGCTGAGCGCGGTGCGGACGCAACACCGAGGGTTGCGATCCCGTTGCCGGTCAGTAAAAAAGAGACAAAAAGGAAAAAAAAAAAGAAGGGCTGGTGCTTTTGTAGCACTTATTCTATCCCAGGCCTGGTCTTAAGTGTGTAGATGGACTCATTTAATCTCTCAACCACCCACCCTAGTGTCCCCACCTGTAACATGGGACATAGAGACACACAGGTTTAATGCCACGTCCAAGGTGCCCTAGTTGGTGGTGGCAGAGCCAGAATCCACAGCCAGCTGTCTGGCCCGGAGGTCCTGCTCTTTCCACTGCACTATGCTGCCTGACTTAAAGGGTAGATTCCAGGGACCTCGGGAGGGAAGGGGCCATCCCCGCTCTCAGCCCTGCCTTCTCGCGTCTGGAGGCGGGGGCTGGGTGGGATGAGCCTTCAGCTGAGGGCCCTTCCCACTGGCGGCCTCGCACTGAGGACCCCCAAACTCGTCTCTGGCCAGCTGCCCAGCCAAGAGAGCTGGGACTCTGAGTCGTCCTTCCCCCACCTACTTCTGACCCCAGGATTGACCCTCTTCCCTCCCACCCGTAGCCTAGGGCCTGGCAGTTCAATGCTTGCTCAGCCCAGGGCCCCTGATGGCCACTCGCTGTTGGAGGAACCAAGGTCTTGGGCCTGGATAACAGTATCTTGGCTTCCATGGCTTGCAGCCTCCGGGGGACTTGCGGGCCCCCAGTCTTCCTGCCACACCCCCGCCTCTCCGTCCCTCCATGACATCTTCACACGGTCCCTGTTCAGCTGCCCAGTGACGGGGATACTAGCCATCCCTGCCCTTAAATCCCCTTCCCTCTCAGCACCCTCCCTGAAGCCAGCCCTGGGGAGGCAGGGAGAAGGCCGGAAGGTGGGAATAGCTGTAGGGGTTTATAGTCCTTGGGGTCGCAGTCTGGCCACGCCTTCAGATACCCCCTAGCATCTGAAGATAGAGTCACCTGGGCAATTCTCATGATGTCTGTCCCCCTCCCAGTTCTGAGAGCCAAGAAAACAGCTCCCTCCTCCTCAGTCCCAGCCAGCTCAGCCTGGCCCTTGGTTTCATGGGGCCCATGAGCCCATTCCTACCCACTGCTCCTTCCTCCCTGGACCAGACACAAGGCCACAGTGGAATTTGGGAAGAAAGTCTCCGGTGAGGACGAAGTGCTACTGGGGGGCCGGCGCAAGCCCCGGGAGCCCTCCTTCCTGCGGGCCCTGCTGGCCACCTTCGGCCCCGGCCTCCTCCTCAGCATGTGCTTCAAGCTGATCCAGGACCTGCTGTCTTTCATCAACCCACAGCTGCTCAGGTCTCACCGTGCTCCCTCTCGTTGCAGCTCTTCCCTGGGCAGGCGAGCTGGCCGGCTGCCCCCGAGCGCTGGGCCCAGAGGAGGGAACCACAGACAGTGAAAAGAACCCCAGACCAGCAACCCAAGAGGCTATCTGTCTCCACTTTCTCTGTGGCCCTTGGCAAGTGGCACTGCCTCTGCACCTCAGTTTCCCCATTCACATTCAACTTACGTTTGTAGAGTACACACTATGTGCCAGGCGCTGCAGTGAATACATTAACAAGCATTCTCTCTTCTAATCTTCCAACAACTCTATGGAGAGGTGCTCCTATTCTCATTATACGAAAGAGGAAGCAGGGACTCAGAGGGGTGAAGTAACTTGGCCAAGGACACGCAGCTAGAAGAGATGGAATCAGATCCGAGTCCAGGGCTCTGAACTCCAGCTAGGGTGCCCTTTCCACCACCACCAGGCTCTGTCAGCTGTCACATGAGTGGTTTGGATTGAAGGAGTTTTCAAATGAGAGGGTAGGAGGGAGATCTGCCTGGCAGCAGAGCCCCCAACCCCTCCACACGTGCATTCATTCCTTCAGGGAACATTTAGTGAGTCCCCAGGGTACCAGAATGGTGCTAGACACTAGGGACACGGAGACAAATATGACCTTGTCTCGTGGGAGAAAGCAGCATTTGAATCAGTTAGAATACACTGGGGACAGAGGTGTGCTCAGGTGTCTGGAAAACCCCAGGAGGGGCAAGAAGGCAAGCCTGGGGTGGAGCGGAGAACACTTGCCAGCTTAGGAGGTTATCAAGTTTGGAGGGACATGTGGATGACGGAGGGGAAAGTGCAGCTTAATTGTAGTCCCAAAGGCCTGAAACAGCATGACTCAGGAGCTCCAGGTGTTTCTCCATGCTGGGGGAAAGGGCAAGCGGGGCACGGGGAGGAAGACGGAGAGAAAGAGGGAGAGCTGAGGATATCCTCGACAGACCTGAGCCAGGGAGGGGCATCTGGGTTGAAGGCTCCTCCTGCCAGTAGCATGCGGTGTGTAGGGCAGGGTGGTTCATGGAAGTGGGCCAGTGAGGTCAGATGGGAGTCCAGGCCAGATATGGGATCAGAATCCAGGAGCTATTTGGGAGATGGTGAGTGCACCAGGGAGAGGGAGGAGTCAATGTGTAGGGCAGGGTGGTTCATGGAAGTGGGCCAGTGAGGTCAGATGGGAGCCCAGGCCAGATAAGGGATCAGAATCCAGGAGCTATTTGGGAGATGGTGAGTGCACCAGGGAGAGGGAGGAGTCAAGGGCAACCTGGGCGCTGGCCTGGGTAACCGGAGGACAATGGATCTTTTCCTGAGGTAATGGGTTCAGCAGGACGAGGAGGCTGGGCATGTGGCAAAGGTGGCCCTGCTGGGCCAGAGATGCTGGTGGGACCTCCAAGGGGAGTTTCCTAGCTAGCTGGAGTCATCAAGGGAAGCCCAGTGTCCCACATCTGGGGCTTGGCTGTCCCAGAGAGCCTGCACTGAGGGAGAGGGTAGAGTGGTCCTAGGAATTCTGATAGGTAAGGGGTGAGCCAGAGCTGGGGAAGGAACCTGGAACGGGAGCAGAGCACAGACAGTGCTTCTCAGGGGAAGGAGTGGCCTCTGGTGAAGAAAACTGGCCAGTAAAATAGGCAACACGGAGGTGGTGAGTGACTTTGCCCAGAAGAGGCTGGGACAGAGGGGAAGGGCCTGAGAGCAGGGGTATGCAGTGGAGACCAGGCCATGGATGCCCAGAAACTTGCAGGAAGGAAAGTTGTATTCATTTGGCAGGGCTGCCCTAACAAATTACCAGAGACTGGGTGGCTTAAAACAACAGAACTATACTCCCTCACAGTGCTGGAGGCTAGAAGTCCAAAATCAAGGTGTTGGCAGGCTCGGTTCCTTCCAGAGGCTCTGAATGAGAATCTGTTCCATGCCTCTCGTAGCTTCCGGTAGCTTCTGGCAATCACTGGTGTTCTTATCTTGTAAGTGCATCACATTGATCTCTGCCTCCGTCTTCACATGGCATTCTCTGTGCACGTGTAGGGGTGTGTGTGGTGTGTGTCTGGTGTATGTGTGTGCACATCTCCTTCTCCTTTTTTTTATAAAGACACCACCCTACTCCAGTATGACCTTATCTTAACTCAATAACAACTGCAAAGACCCTATTTCCGAAGGAGGTCACATCCACAGGTAAAGGGGTTAGTACCTGAATGTAGTTTTGGGGGGACACAGTTCAACGTGTAACAGAAAGGGAGGTCTGGCTATGATTGTGGCTAGGGGGCTCCATGGGGTCAAGAGGAGGTTTGTCCCAACATGAAGAGCTTGGTCCTATCAATAGGCAAAGGTGGAGCTGCCAGCAGAGGGGAAGATATTGACCTCAGGAGAAAGGGGGACAACCGTGGGGCATGTTCCTGAGGACGTGGGCAGGTCAGGCTTGGGAAGACCGCCTCAGAGGTGGGAGGAAAGGAAGTGGCCGAGTGTTGAGAGGGAATGTGGTGCGTGGCAGAGTGTTCTCGGTGGGCAGTTAAGTGGGAAGACAGGTAGCTGCCGAGGGGGTAGGGGGAGGGGACAAGCCAGAAGGTAAGAGGAGGTGGTGAAGGCCATGTGAGAGTGGGTGAACTGGGGCCCTGACAAGGGTCACCGAGCAGCGCTGGGGGCTGCTGATGTTGGAAGGATGCAGTTGAGGGCTAGTCTATGTGGTCCTGCAGCAGACTCTAGAGCCCTCAGCAGCCCAGGAGAAGGGACAGGAGGGTCTAATCCATGGAAATGTGGTATTTCTTCCTGCCCTGTGGTTCAAGGAGGAAGCAAAGGCAGAAGGGAGCAAGAATGGAGGTCACGGTCAAGAACGAGGCAGCGCTGGGCTGAGCCTCCCTGGCCTAGGTGGTGGGGCGTGTGGAGGGCCAGTAGCTGCCTCACCTGGGAGGCTCCAGGGGCAGGGGGCACAGTGCAGGCTGAGGGCAAGAGCAGAAGGAGCAGCCTGGGGAGCACCCCCTGCCCTCACACCTCTCTCTTCCCCTGGCAGTGTCCTGATCAAGTTCATTTCAAACCCCACAGCCCCCGCCTGGTGGGGCTTCCTGGTGGCTGGGCTGATGTTCGTGTGCTCCATAATGCAGACACTGATCTTACACCAGTATTTCCATGCCATCTTTGTGATTGGCCTGAGGTTTCGGACGGGTATCATAGGCGTCATCTACAGGAAGGTTAGCTGCAGCAGGGTTCAGGGGAGAGGCTGGCCCTGGGCAGCTGGGAAGAAGCTCACGGGCCTAGTCCATCCCCTGCTGTCCACCTGCAGGCGCTGGTCATCACCAATTCAGTCAAACGTGCATCCACTGTGGGAGAAATTGTCAACCTCATGGCTGTGGACGCCCAGCGCTTCATGGACATTGCCCCCTTCATCAACCTGTTGTGGTCAGCCCCCCTGCAGATCATCCTGGCAATCTACTTCCTCTGGCAGGTGACTCTAGAGCCCTGACCTCCACCCCCTTTCTCTGACCTGGCTGCAGAAGGGACAAGAGGGGTTGTTCTGGGTCAGCCCAGGGACTATGCAGTAGATGCAAGAGCTTCTCTAGGTACAGGGGGACAGGGGGAGAGAGGAGCGGGACTTGAGGATGCTGGTGTCTGCAAATGAATCTTTCCAGCCTGTGCTGTGATCCCTCCTGCAGAAGCCAGGGGAAGGAAGAGGGGCTTGGAGGCAGGCTGGGTGTGACTTTGGCTGTCATTGTCTCTGTCTGTCTGCATTTGCCTTCCTGTGTGTCTGGACACCCTTCTATAGCTGCTGTTTTTCCCCGCCTGTTGTCATTATCTGTTGGCTGGCTGCTTCTGCAAACGTTGTGGTCATTCTGGCTTTTTCTGTCTGTTTGGTTTACCCCTGTCTTTTGCCTCCTGCCCATCTCCACATTTCAAGTCAGCGGCTTCTATTTGTCTGTTGGGCTCTGTCTATAGATTGTGGTTATCTGTCTGTCTTATCTGTCTGTCTGTGCCTCCTCAGAATCTAGGTCCCTCTGTCCTGGCTGGAGTTGCTCTCATGGTCTTGCTGATTCCACTCAATGGAGCTGTGGCCGTAAAGATGCGTGCATTCCAGGTAGGTGTTGTCAGAGGGGTGCCCTCCTGCTTGGAGCACCTGGCCAGATGCCCGCAGGAGGGTGCTCACTAACCCCGGGGCCCCTCAGTGACATTGCTTACTGAGTATGGATGGCTACAAGCCACTTGCACAAACCTTAGCTCACTCTACCCTCACAACTCTGGGAGGATTTTAGTAATATCCTCATTTGGCAGCGGAGGAACAAAGGCCCAGAGAGATTATGGTAGTTCAGAGTCAGGCAGAGCTGGGACTCAAGCTCACATCTTCTGTTCTAATGAGAATTTTTCCCACTACATTGTGCTAAACATAACTAGCCGGTCATTCAGTCCGTTATTTGCAGACATTTCTTGAAGTCTTTGGTACTTTCCCAGTACACATGGAATAAAAAAATGACAAACTCCCTAAGACCATCCACTAGCCCCTGCTTTGCAAGTCCTTCCACCCTGGGGCATGGTCAAATTTCAGGGGGTCTGGCCTTCTTTCTTTTCTCCAAAGCACTGAGCTCTGCCTGCCTCTGGGCCACTAAACACACTGTTCCCTCTGCCTGGTGGGCTCTTCTGCCTCCTCACCTCGCTCCTTCCCTTCCTTCACCTCAGCATAAACGTCACTTCCTCCGGAGGCCCACCCTGATTACCCAGGGCAGCTTAGTTTCCCTGCCGCAACCCATTATTCTCTCACAGCCCCCTGTTATTTCCCTTCAGAGCACGCATGGTGATTCATAATTCTTCTGCCTCCTCACCTCGCTCCTTCCCTTCCTTCACCTCAGCATAAACGTCACTTCCTCTGGAGGCCCACCCTGATTACCCAGGGCAGCTTAGTTTCCCTGCCGCCACCCATTATTCTCTCACAGCCCCCTGTTATTTCCCTTCAGAGCACGCATGGTGATTCATAATTAAGCATGTACTTAGGTAATTGTTTGCTCATTATCTGCCTCCTCCATCAGACTGTCAGCTGTATGATGGCCGGGGGCCTTATCTGAATTGTTCATCACGTGGCCTGGCACATAGTAGAAACTCAGTAATTAGGGGTTAAGTGAATAAATTAAGCTATGGTGTGCCATAGCTTGGGTTAGAGTCTGGGGGAACAAAGAGAAATAAACAATCCATACCCTGAGGAAGCTCACAATCTGGGGAGACATTATGTAAAGGGATGGTTATGGAATGAAAGGAAAATGCCACATGCTCTAGAAACCCACAGAAGGGGACAGGGGATGCTGCCGGGGGGGTGGGTGGAGGTCAGTGCAGGCAGCACTGAGGGGTGAGCTGGACTTTGTTAAGCGGAGGACACAGGGAGGTGGGGACTGGGCATTGCAGACAGAGGCACAGCACAGCCCGGCAGGGGGGTGTGAGAAGGAATGGCTGCAGTGGGTGAGAATGTCTGGAGCCTGGGAGCCCCCGTGGGTAGGAGGTCTGGAGGGGAGCGGGTGTGCCACTGCCGCTCTTTCCGCCATGCAGGTGGAGCAGATGAAGTTGAAGGACTCACGCATCAAGCTGATGAGTGAGATCCTGGGTGGCATCAAGGTGCTGAAGCTGTATGCCTGGGAGCCCAGCTTCCTGGAACAGGTGCAGGGCATCCGGAAGAACGAGCTCCAGCTGCTGCGCAAATCAGCCTACCTCAACGCCATATCCACCTTCATCTGGATCTGCACCCCCTTCTTGGTGAGGCTCTCCCAGGCCTGTGGGTGCCCGAACATGGTTGGGGCCCAGCAGACTCTGCCCTGACACCCACCTCCACACTGCCCAGGTCACCCTGATCACTCTCGGAGTGTACGTGTGTGTGGACCCGAACAATGTGCTGGATGCCGAGAAGGCCTTTGTGTCTCTGTCTCTGTTCAATATCTTAAAGATTCCCCTCAACATGCTGCCCCAGTTAATCAGCATCCTGGCCCAGGTAACCCTGGGTAGGGCTGGGGGTTCCATTGGAGTCAGGGCAGGTTGTTGGGATCAGGGAAGGGTCGCTTAGGGTCAGGGGATAATCAGGGTACCGGAATTAGGGAAGGGCCATTTGGCATTATGAAGAGTTGTATGAGGCTAAGTGAGGACATAGGGTCAGGGGTCATTTGGAGTCATAGGAAGTCAAGTGGGGTCTCTGGAAACCTAAGTTCTGGAGACAGAACCTGGACTTGTCTTTGGGCAGTGGGAGCCATGGTCAACTCGGTTGTGGGAGAGGCCTTAGCACCAGCATCTGAGGGCCCTGCCCAACCCAGGAAGTTGGGGACCAGGCAGGGTTGAGGGGGTGGGGGAGGGAAAAGCAGTCTCTGGGGCTGATTCACACCCTCCTGCAGACCAGTGTGTCTTTGAAACGGATCCAGCGTTTCCTGAGCCAAGATGAACTAGACCCCCAGTGTGTGGAAAGAAAGACCATCTCTCCAGGTCCAGAGACTGCCCTTGCCCCCCGGTCCTTGCTCCAGAAAATTCTCTGTTCCAAGCTTTCTCATTTTCCTCTCATGACCCCTTTTCTTCTTCCTCTTTTTCGTATCTGCTTTAACTCTATGGCCCCCTTCTCCCTCTTTGGGTTCTCTGCTCTCCTTCATCCCTCCCCTAGGGCTCCCTACACCTCTGCCTCCCTTCCTTCCCCTAGGGATCCCCACCCCCTTGCCCAGCCTTCCTATCCCCGTCCTCTTCTCCCCAGGCATCCCTGCCCATTTCCCCATCCCCTGGGCTCCCTGACCCTGTACACCTTGGTCCTCCCAGGCTATGCCATCACCGTACACAGTGGCACCTTCACCTGGGGCCAGGACCTGCCCCCGACCTTGCACAGGTACCAGTTTCTCCCACTCCTTTTTCAGCTGCCCAAAGAAGGCCAAAGGTCAGATCAGTAGCAACACCCATCCTCCAACCACCTCCCCAGGTCTTTGGCCAGGAATGCAGGAAGAGCCTCAGTTTGCCAGGGTGGTGTCTGGGAGGGAGGAGGGCTTGGGTCTCCAGGTAAATGGTTGGGGACCAAACCTGGTCCTTGCCTCTAACTGTACTCCTGGGCTTCTTGCCCCCAGTCTGAACATCGAGATCCCAAAAGGGGCACTGGTGGCCGTGGTGGGGCCTGTGGGCTGTGGGAAGTCCTCCCTGGTGTCTGCCCTGCTGGGAGAAATGGAGAAGTTGGAAGGCAAAGTGTATGTGAAGGTGAGAGGAGAAGGGGCACCTGGAAAGGGCATGGGGCTTGGCCAGGCCTTGGACAAACGCTGAAATAAACTTCTCCCATGGCCAGGGCTCCGTGGCCTACGTGCCCCAGCAAGCATGGATACAGAACTGCACTCTTCAGGAAAATGTGCTGTTTGGCCAAGCCCTGGACTCCAAGCGCTACCAAAAGGCTCTGGAGGCCTGTGCCTTGCTTGCTGACCTGGAGATGCTGCCTGGTGGGGACCAGACAGAAATTGGAGAGAAGGTAGAGGGTCCCCTCCCACCCCCAGGGAGCCAGTACATACAGCTACCTGACTCAACCTAGGCCAGGTCCATATATTATTTCATTCATTCATTTATTCATTCAAACATTTATGTAACATCCATGCCCAGCTTTATGCCAGGCACTGGGAAAACAGATCTCTTATCTGGAAGAACAGCTAATCATTCGTCTATTTATTTATTCATTTATTCATCAGATTTTTATTAAGCATCTACTATATGTGCCAGGCAGTATCATACAGGCTTAAATCTCTGTCTTCATAGAGGTTATGTTCCAATGGGGGAAAGATACAATAAGCAACATAAGTAAAATATATAATATCCAAATATTAGATAAATGCTAAGGGAAAAAATAAAACAGGGAAGGAATGTAGGAATATGGGTGGGGCTGAATTGTTAGGTGGTTTGGGAAAGCCTCACTGAGAATCAGAGACCTAAACAAAGAGAGGAGGGAGCCCTTTCCGGGGCTATTGAACCCTGTCTGGGGCAGGGCACAGGAGGCAGAGAGAGCAGGAAGTGCAAAGCCTCTGAGGCAGGAGTGCAACTGGGAGTTGGAGAAGCAGCAAGGAGGCTGGTGTGGCTGGAACGAGTGATCAGTGATCAAGGGCTCAGGAAGAGGAAATGAGGCTGGAGGGGTGACCAGGCAGCCAGGTCACTTAAGGTCTGCAGGCACTCTGAGGACTGTGGCTCTTACCCAGGGTGATGGAAGGTCACTGGAGGGTGTGAGCTGAGGAACAGGGTGAACCTAGACCGGCATTCCAGTGCACTTTGGTGTGACTGGAGGTCAGGAAGTGGAGGGGAGGGGAGAGGGCAAGACAGAGCCTTGAGGTCCTTCGTTGAGTTTAGCCTTTACTTTGGCCTTTACTGTCACCAATGGGACATTGATGAAAGTTTTTGTTTTTTAATTAACTTATTTATTTTAATTGTAGCAAAACACATATAACATAAAATGTACCATCTTAGCCATGTTTAAGTGTACACTCTGCAGTATTATGTACGTTCACAGTGCTGTGCAATCTCCAGAACTTTTTCATTTCGCAAACTGAACCTCCGTACTCGTTAAAGCAACTGCCCATTCCTCATTCACCCTAGCCCCTGGCAATCACCTTCTACTTTCTATTTCAAGAAATTTGACTACTCTAGGTACCTCATATAAGTGCAATCACACAGTATTTGTCTTTTTTGACTGACTTTTGTGTCCTCAAGGTTCCGTTAAAGCAACTGCCCATTCCTCATTCACCCTAGCCCCTGGCAATCACCTTCTACTTTCTATTTCAAGAAATTTGACTACTCTAGGTATCTCATATAAGTGCAATCACACAGTATTTGTCTTTTTTGACTGACTTTTGTGTCCTCAAGGTTCATCCATGTTGTAGCATGTGTCAGAATTTCTTTCCTTTTCTGGGAGGTGGAGGAGCTGCTGGCCATTACATGGATCCAATCCCTTGACCTTGAAGTTATAAACACTGCACACTAATCGACTAAGCTAACTGGCCAGCCCTTCTTCCTCTTTAAGGCTGAATAATATTCCATTGTATAGATATACCACTTTTGTTTATCTGTCCATTCATGGATGGACACGTGGGTTGTCAGGGAAGCCAACTGGCAGGGTGCTGAAGCAAGGGAGGAGGATGGCCTCAGCTGCTCTGGACCTCCGAGAGCCACCGCCTCTTCCTCTGTGACCTTGCATCTTTGCAATGATAGACCAGGCATCATATGAAATGTGGACGCAGAGGTCTGCTTTGCTGAATGACAGTGGACAGGCCCTTGTCTACTATGCCTGTCTGATCTCCTTCCACCCAGTACCTACTTCCCACCACTCTCCTCCCTCCAGGGCATTAACCTGTCCGGGGGCCAGCGGCAGCGGGTCAGCCTGGCCCGAGCTGTTTACAGTGATGCTGACATTTTTTTGCTGGATGACCCACTGTCAGCTGTGGACTCCCACGTGGCCAAGCATATCTTTGACCAAGTCATTGGTCCAGAAGGCGTGCTGGCAGGCAAGGTGAGGCCTGCAGGGGCTCTGGGGGTTAAGGTGAGATCTAGGGCTCTAGACTGAGGGATGTGGGTGAGACCTGGTGACATGGGGAAGTAGGAGAGAGGGTTGGATGGCAGGGGAAACCCGTGGGGATGCACATCTCCGAGGCACTGAGCAGGCTGCGGTGAGCACAGGGTAAGTCACCAGTGTGCCTATCCACACTCCCCAGCACACGTAGCCTCACGCTCATCTGTGGCTCCGTGCCTGTGCCAGGGTGTGTGCTGAGGGCAGGGACGGGGTGATGAGAGTGTGCTGCCTTCTCCCCAGACTCGGGTGCTGGTGACACATGGCATCAGCTTCCTGCCCCAGACAGACTTCATCATAGTGCTAGCTGATGGACAGGTGTCGGAGATGGGCTCCTACACAGCCCTGCTGCAACGCAACGGCTCCTTTGCCAACTTCCTCCGCAACTATGTACCCGATGAGGACCAGGAGCACCAGGAGGAGGACGGCAGGATTGGTACCCACTATCCCTGGCCCTCACGAGTTCTGTGCCCTTCCAGCATCTCCGCTGTCTGGAGTCTCTGAGTGTCTCTGGACTAGCCCAGTGCTGTACCACAGAGGTCCTGGGAAACTTGGGCCATCTGCTTGGCAGTCAGACATCACCAGAGGGAAAGTAAACCAGATGTATTTAAGCCCTACCTCCTTCTCCTTCCTAACTGTGAGACCTTAGATCAGCAGCTCAGGTCCCAGAGCCTCAGTTTTCCCATCTGTCAAAAGAGTAGAGGGCCCAGGCCCAGCTTGTGTGTCAAGGCTGTTTCATGGACAAATTGTTTGGCAAATGTGCAAGTGCTTGGCAAAGTCATTTATGTACCAACCAAGATTTATTGAGCAACTAACCATGTCCGAGCACTGAGACACAGCAGTGAGCAAACAAACAAAAAAATCCCTGCCCTCGTGGAGCCTATTGAAATCTCTGGGCTGCCAAGATGCCCATGCCTCTTGATGCCCAGTCCCAGCTCAGAGTTTTGAGTCCAACCCCACACTCTGGATCGGCTCACAGACCTCCCCTGGGCTTTCCTGCCTACTGCCGTATGTGCAGCCAGCATGGCTGGAGCGTTTACCAGGTGCTGCACTCCTTGCTGAGCACCTGGCCCACGTTCTCTCCTTTTACCCTCACAATTATGCGAGGAAGTAGGTACTACTATTACCCCCTTTTCACGTGCCTGCCTAAGGTCAGGCAGTGAGGAGGGGAGATGGAAGCTCAGCCAGTCTGACTCCAGAGCCTAAGTTCCTAACCCTTGTATGTGAGTGTCCTCCACAGGCCCTGCAGGGAAGTTTTTCTTGTTGTCTAACCCAAGTCTTTGTTTGTTGCCCTTTGAATCCCTCTCATCTTTTCTCACACTTGTCCCTTCAGGCCCTTCATTAGAGTGGGGATTGGGGGGGTGCCAGGGGCTTGCAGGGAGAGCTGGCTGACCTCTACTTCCTCCCCGCCCCTGCTGTAAACCTGGAAGGTGTGGAGGATGAGGAGGTGCTGCTGATCGAGGACACACTTAGCAACCACACAGACCTGACGGATAACGAGCCAGTCATGTACGAGGTCCAGAAGCAATTTATGAGGTGAGCTCCTGAGAGCTCCCACCCCCCAGGAGGCAGCATCAGGGCTCCTCAAGCCCTGCCAGGTGGGGTGCAGGTGGGCATTCTCCCTGACATTCACACCCAGCCTCTGTCCTGGGGGTATGGCGGAGGCCTCCTCCCTGGGCCTGACCAGCTGCCTCCACAGACAGATGAGTGCCATGTCCTCAGAAGGGGAGGGCCAAGGTCGGCCTGTGTCCCGGAAACACTTGGGCCCATCGGAGAAGGTGGTGCCAGTGACAGAGGCGAAGGCGAGTGGGGCGCTGATTGAGGAGGAGAAGGCGGAGATCGGCACCGTGAGTAGTGTGGACAAGAAGGATGGGGGTGGACGGACCGGCCCCCAGCAGCCCCAGGGCTCACGGAGTCCTCTGTCCCGGACCGCCACGGCCACTCCCTGCAGGTGAAGCTGAGTGTGTACTGGGATTATGCCAAGGCTGCGGGGCTCTGTACCTCGCTAGCCATCTGTCTCCTGTATACGGGTCAAAGTGCAGCCTCCATCGGGTCCAACGTATGGCTCAGCGACTGGACCAATGATGCCATGGTGGACGGTGGACAAAACAACACCTCCCTGAGGCTGGGCGTCTATGCTGCCTTGGGGATTCTGCAAGGTGAGCCTGTGGGGGTTCCCAGAAAGGTCTCTAGCATCCCTTCTCCCCTGGGCTGCTGGGCCCCCAAACTATGCCCTTGCTTCTGAGACTCCCTAACTCACTCCGGTCATCCTGGAATCTGAATCTGCCCCTCCATGCCCACCCCCTGGCCCAGGTGAGCCAGCTGCCCTCTCCTTCCTCCAACAGGGCTCCTGGTGATGCTGTCGGCCATGATGATGGCAGTGGGTACCATCCAGGCTGCCCGCTTGCTGCACGAGGCCCTGCTGCATAACAAGATGCGCTCGCCACAGTCCTTTTTCGACACGACGCCCTCAGGCCGCATCCTCAACCGCTTCTCCAAGGACATCTTCGTCATCGATGAGATTCTGGCCCCCACCATCCTCATGCTGCTCAATTCCTTCTACACCTCCATGTCCACTGTCGTGGTCATCATGGTCAGCACGCCACTTTTTGCCGTGGTCATCGTACCTCTGGCTGTGCTCTACACCTTTGTGCAGGTGCGAGAGTGGGTGGGCGTGGCTCTGACGTGGATGGGGCGCTCCGTGTGGGCCGGCAAGCAGGGGTGGGACATGGGGAGGTCAGGACCCCAGCATCACAGCTGAATTTTGTTAGGGACAGTAGTCAGTTACTTCACTTCTATGGAACTCATTTTCCTCACCTGTAAAGTAGAATCATAGAGCCTAACCTCATAGGGTTGGCAGGGGAATAAAATGAAATACTCATAGATTGTGACTTGCCCTGGGGTTCCTTCCTGGTGGCTATTTTTAAATAAAACACTGTTAACCATTTGGGACACGCTATCCTTCCCTACGTGTATATATGTTTTAACATAGGTGAGTTGATAACATTCAGATTCAGCTAACTGTGAAAGGCTTTTGCAGTCACTGAGCTCCTGTTCTGCAATTAATTAATCAGCTAATGAGAGTTATCCACCAGTTGCATAGGAGCTCAGCCGCTGGCTAAAGAGACCATAATCTGGGCTGTGCTTTGTGTTGGGCCAGGGGAGCCTCTGATATATATCCTGTATGGTCCTAGCCATCTTGGAGCCCACAGGGACAGAAACTGAAGGCAGAATCATGTGTTTATGCGGCCTGGCTAAAGAGACCATAATCTGGGCTGTGCTTTGTGTTGGGCCAGGGGAGCCTCTGATATATATCCTGTATAGTCCTAGCCATCTTGGAGCCCACAGGGACAGAAACTGAAGGCAGAATCATGTGTTTATGCGGCTGAAGCTTAAGCAACAGGGGGGAAGGGGATCTTTAAAAAACAAAACGAATACAAAATTATCTTAGGTTTTCAAATTTTGCAAAAACCTTTGACTGTGAGCACATTGCTAGGGCCCCCAAGTGGAGATAGGCGTATTCACTGACTTAGGAGGCTAAGCAAACTCAGTGCTGTAATCAGGCCCCCACAGAGGGGAGGGGGCCAGAAGCTAAGATGCGATCAGGAAAGGCTTCGTGGAGGAAGTGGCCTGGCCGACTGAGCAGAGACAATCAGAGGGAAAAGCTGGAATGACATATCAAGACCCCAAGTCTTGGGTCCCTGAAGGCAAGGGAAGGCAGCAAGATCACGTGGGGGGAGTGGAGCTGGCTGGCAGGAAGCCAAGGGGGAAATGAATGGGTTGAGAGAGAAGCAGGCCTGAGTTAGTGATTCCCCAGCCCTGACCCAAGCTCCTTCCCCATCCCCTGTCAGCGCTTCTATGTGGCCACATCACGGCAGCTGAAGCGGCTGGAATCGGTCAGCCGCTCGCCCATCTACTCCCACTTTTCGGAGACAGTGACTGGCACTGGCGTCATCCGGGCCTATGGCCGCAGCCAGGACTTTGAGGTCATCAACAATAGGAAGGTGGACACCAACCAGAGGAGCTGCTACCCCTACATTGCCTCCAACCGGTCAGAAACTGCCTCCCTTACCCCTGCTCCTCCAGGCTCTCTGGCATTCTGGGTCCTAGCCCTACCTTTCCCCTAATCAAGAAACTGGCCCCTTTCTGTCCCTGACTCATTTCCTCCCTGTCTGATCCCCTGCAGGTGGCTGGGCATCCGAGTGGAGTTTGTGGGGAACTGTGTTGTGCTCTTTGCTGCACTATTTGCCGTGATTGGGAGAAGCAGTCTGAGTCCTGGGCTGGTGGGCCTTTCTGTGTCCTATGCCCTACAGGTATGGAGGGGTCTGGGCCCCAGAGCAGGGCCACCTTGGGGCAGAGGTCACACAGGTGTCACAAGCATCTCCTGAGTGCCCCTCTCTGCTCTCAAGGACTATGAGCCCATGGTATAGACGCTCCCATCAGCAGGAAATTGTGATCAGTAGGTCTTTGTAGCAGAGCCTGGAGGAGTTTGGTCTTGGGAGCTTGTCTCCAAAGGACAAACAACTTGTCTTATCTGTGGGTAAGATGCAGGTCAATCTGAGAGGTCTGGGGACAGGAAAGTGTAGGGCTGGAATATGCCTCATGTTTGTTCACATGCTTGCAGAGATAGTACACAGATTAGGTGACCTGAAGCTTGGGCTGGAGGGCAGACAGGTCACCCTGATACCAGCCTATATTGTCAAAGAGTTACGTAACTGCAAATGGAATTTTTGTCAAGCAGATCACATTTTTAATGCCTCCAGTGGCTTACAAATCTTGAATGCATTGGTAAATAAAAGACAATCCAGACAGGCCAGTTTCCTCAAATTTTACCATGCTTGTGAATCACCTGGAGACCTTGTTAAAATGTGCATTCTGATTCAGTAGGCCTACCACGGGGCTCAGGATTCTGCATTCCTATCAAGACTCCTTGGTATGCCAAGTGTGGTCTCTGGGCCGGTTGCATCACATCTTCTGGGGAGCTTGTTAGAAATGAAGAATCTCAGGTCTCATTTCAGACCTACTGAGTCAGTAGCTGCATTTTAACAAGATTCTCTGGGAAGTCTTATACATAGTAAAGTTTGAGAAACACTGGGCAAGCTGTTAAGGATGGTTAAGTCTGTATTGTCACTGTCTGAGGTATAGCTGTGATTAGAACCCCAGTTGGCACACCTGTGTGGGCTTGCTCAGGTCCACCTGGGTCATAGATGGGATAGGATCCCACTGATGGGAGCATAAACAAGGAGTCTGAACTCTTCCCAAAGCTGTTGAGGGGTTGGGGGGGGATCATCTTGCCCATACTCAGTTCCTTTGGCCAGGTGACAATGTCTCTGAACTGGATGATACGAACAATGTCAGACTTGGAGTCTAATATTGTGGCTGTGGAGAGAGTCAAGGAGTACTCCAAGACAGAGACTGAGGTGGGTACTGGGATGTCCTGGGGTAAGGAGAATCTGGAGTAGCTGGGGAAGGATGCTTGGTGGCCCGTCATACCTATATGTCAGGATCAGCTGATTAAGTGGCTTTTCATTTAGTCATCCATCCAACCCTTACTGCGTATCAACCAGAGGTCTATGCTAGGAGGTGTAGAGGGTTCAGAGCTGAGCAAGACAGGGTCTTCCCTCAAGCAGATTCTGATTTACTGAGGGGGCTAAGACATATTCCAGGACTTTTCAGGGGATGACAAGAGCTTTGGGGTGGTGAACCCCAAGAGGGCAGATAAGGGGGCACCTTTCAGCTGGGGTGACCAGGGAAGGTGAACTGAGATTTGAAGGATGAGCAGGTTTTGATAGATTAGGTAAGATGGTGATGTGGGGCAGTGAGAAGGTGAGCATTCCAGCCAAAGAAACCAGCCTGGTCAAGGGAGCAGAGGTGGGACAGCATGCCCTTTGCTGGGGAAAAAGGAGCTGTCCTCTTCTGCGGTGTCCAAGCTTTTCTCCACTGCCTCCTCACATGTTTACACCCCAGACCTCTTCATGGCCAGAAGCTGCACCATCCTTGAGATCTCAGTGTCAAACATACCACTTTTAGATCACCTTCCCATCCCTCCCAGCTCACGTGTTCCAAGTCCTCCACTCGCAGTATCTTGGCAGGGACTTCCAATCCCATGACCCGCCTTTGTCTCTCTGTCCTTCGGCTCTTCTGGGTTCACCTCCCTCCCTGGTGAGCCTAGATTCTATGCTCCACCAACGCAGACGCTCTCCAGTCCCTGGCCCTTCTCTCCCTCTCGGTTGTGCTCATCTACAAAACCCCACCCCAGCTGAGCCCACCTGTTGCCTCCTTCATACCTGCACTGAGCAGCTGAAACCAGCTGGAAAAATCACTGATTTTACTTCAGGTAATTTATAACCACACACCACTGCCAGGTATTGCTATGTTACTTCCACAGAAGCAGGTGTTCCCTCTTCCAGAAAGACTGCCTTCGAGCATTCTCTGTCCTCAGACCTGCACATCTTTTTTCCCTTGTGCTTAGCCATCGACCTTGCCTGACACTTCCATGAGAAAATAGGTTGTAAGACGTGAACTCCCTCAACCTTCTTGCCTCCAGACCTTCTTGGTCCTGAGCATGCATCACTTCTTCATTGTTATGTAGATTCACTTATCGGTTGATGGTGTGCCTCCTGTACTAGAACGTGGGCCTCATGGGGGCAAGAACTTTGTCTGGCGTAGCCACTCAGTAATAATGAATGGATAAAGGTGATGAAAGGGGGAGCTAGGGCAGGCAGGGAGGGCACGTCAGGAACACGGGGTGTGAGGAGAGAGTGGCAGGGGGCAGGATGGGGAGTTTCGGAGTGGCTCAGAATAAAGTTGGAGGGATAAAGGACTCATGGAACCACTAGGTTACAGTGGCCCCCTGGACCCTCTCCCGGGAGCCATAGTGGGTAAGGATTGAGGGTCCTTGGGAGAGAGGGAGACTGAAAAGTGGGAGAGGGCCAGGTTGGGGACAAGGTGCCCTCCTGATGAGACCCCATCTGCCCCTCCCTCCAGGCCCCCTGGGTGGTACAGGACAGCCGGCCTCCCAAGGGCTGGCCCCCCAGGAGCCATAGTGGGTAAGGATTGAGGGTCCTTGGGAGAGAGGGAGACTGAAAAGTGGGAGAGGGCCAGGCTGGGGACGAGGTGCCCTCCTGATGAGACCCTATCTGCCCCTCCCTCCAGGCCCCCTGGGTGGTACAGGACAGCCGGCCTCCCAAGGGCTGGCCCACACGTGGAGAGGTGGAGTTCCGGAATTACTCTGTGCGCTACCGGCCGGGCCTGGAGCTGGTGCTGAGAGACCTGAGTCTGCATGTGCACGGTGGTGAGAAGGTACGTGGGGGGGTGCATGCCCTGGGTGTGGGCTTGTGCCTGAGGACAAGGCCACAGCCCTGGTGGGGAGCATGGGTCTTTGAGAGAGCAGGTGCTCCAGCCAGATGTCTGCTCAGCCTCTAGGGGAGGCCTGGAGATGCCCCTGTGACATCTCAGCCTCCCCCTGACGGCCCCTTCCTCATGCTCTCCAGGTGGGGATCGTGGGCCGCACTGGAGCGGGCAAGTCGTCCATGACCCTCTGCCTGTTCCGCATCCTGGAGGCGGCAGAGGGGGAAATCCTCATTGACGGCCTTAACGTGGCAGACATTGGCCTCCATGACCTGCGTTCTCAGCTGACCATCATCCCCCAGGTGTGAGCCTGGCATGGCCTGGCCACCAACCCTGGTGGGCAGACCCTACCCCTGTTCCATAGGTCAAGGACTGACACTGGAACCTCAGTGTCTGCAGCTGGGGGTGGAGGGCAGACAGAAGGGAGCAGGGCCACCAAGGAGCCACCCCAGTCATGGATCTGGAAAGGTCAGGCATACCCTGCCCAGTCCTTTGACCTCCTGGGCCAGCAAATGGGGAAGGACCACAGGACCCCTCGGGGCACCCAATCCCCTGAGACGTTCTGACCTCCTTGTTGACAGCTGCGAATTACATTTTCACTTTTTTTGGCTCCTCTGGGGTATTTTTTTCTGCCAACTGGACACTTTAGAGTCAGATTAGCAGCTCTGGTTCCTGCTTTAGCAGAGGACTTTGTGATCGGCAAAGCTGGGGTTTATCACTCCCCCGCAGGCAATTTTCTGTCTCCTCAGCCATTGCCTCCCTCCTGGGGGGCTGGGGACAGAGTGGGAATTTTGTCACCTTAATTCCTGTCTTTTTTCCCTGAACTGGGGCCCATGACTCCTTAGGGGGCCTGAGCTGCCTCCCTCTGAGGCCTTGTTGTGTCCCCAGGACCCCATCCTGTTCTCGGGGACCCTTCGTATGAACCTGGACCCCTCCGGCCGCTACTCGGAGGAGGACATCTGGCAGGCCTTGGAGCTGTCCCACCTGCACACGTTTGTGAGCTCTCAGCCCGCAGGGCTGGACTTCCAGTGCTCTGAGGGCGGGGAGAATCTCAGGTAACAGCTGGGAATGGACTGGTTAGGAACAGCAGCCCTCCCTGGGGAACCCCTGTAGGTGCTGGAAGGTCTGGCACCAAATGACACAGAGCCAAGGCCAGCCCCTCCTCCCCCCCTCCCCCATGTCAGCCAGGGTGCTCGTAGGGGTGTTATTTTGTATGGAGCATGCTCTGTGTGCCAGCATAGTGTGCTACCACACTGACTCCTCACAGGGGCCCCAGAGGTGGTCCATGATCCCACTTCACAGGTCAGGAAACTGAGGCTCAGAGAGGTTTAGAGGATGGCCTGGGATTTGAACCTGCTCCAGGAGATTCCAAAACTCTATTCAGCCATCTCGTGTAAGGTTGTCAATGCTGTGCTTGGGCTGGGGAGGGAGGTTCTGGATGGAACCTGTGGAGCAGGTGAGAGGAAGCCTACAACACTTCAGGGAAATCATAGATATTTTCCAGGGTGGATGCAGTCTGGTCTGTAGTGTAAGAGTGTGTGGAATGAGCTCTCTAGGACCTTCTCTCCTCTCCAGAGCTTTCTTACAGACCTGGATTTTATATTCTCAGACGTTGGGCTGTGCATTGGAGCAGACCAGGAGTCACTTCTTACTGTGTCTAAAGGCTTGAGATACCCATACCTGTGTTAACTGTGTGATTTAGGGCAAGCTGCATAACCTCTCTGTGCCTCCTTTTTCCTTCACTCTATGGGGATAATAACAGTCCACAACCTCTTCACGCTGTGCTGCCCAATAAAAATATAATGTGAGCCACACATATGTAATTAGAATTTTTTCTAGTAGCCACATTGAAAACGGAAAAAGAAATAAGTGAGGGCTGGCTGGTTAGCTCAGCTGGTTAGAGCGCTGTGTTATAACACCAAGGTCAAGGGTTCAGGTCCCGATACTGGTCAGCTGCCAAAAAGAAAAGAAATAGGTGAAATAAATTATAATAGTATATTTTATTTAGCCCAGTGTATCTAAAATATTATTTCACGATGTCACTGAGAGCTGGCCAGTTAGCTCAGTTGGTAAGAGCATGGTGCCGATAACACCAAGGTCCAGGATTCAATCCATGTACTGGCCAGCTGCCAAAACAAACAAAAAGAAAAGAACATGTCATTGATATCAAAGTTGTTGGGGATATTTTGTATTTTTTTAATATGAGCTTGAAATCCTGTATGGGTCTTATTCTTATGGCACATCTCAATTGGGACCAGCCACATTGCAAGTGCTCAATAGCCACATGTGGCCACTGGCCACCATTTGGACAGAGCAGCATTAGGGTCACTGTGATGAGATGAAAAATGCTTAGCTTGGATACATTCCTGTGGAATGTCAGCTCTATCCTTCCCTTTCTTCCTCCTCCTTATTTTCATTCTGATATTCAGTCTGTGCTCATGAGCCCTGCCCAGACCTCAAAAACGAAAACAAAAAACTTTGCAGTTGTTCAGCACTTAACAGTGTTCAAAGCACTTTGGCCTCCAGTAGCTCATTTAATTTTTACTGCAGTCCTGTGGGCTGGAAATGAGGCTCCATGGTATGAAATTATTTGCCCAAAGCTGCTCAACCACAAGGGGCAGGGCAGGGACTTGGGGAAGTGGGGGCTTTTGTCCTAAACTTTTCCTTCTGCATCATAGCCATCTCCCTCACCCAGACAATGGGTGGGACTCCCCCGCCACCCCGGGCAGCCCTTCCAGATGAAATGTGCGTCTTCATGGGACTTGACATACATAACCACATCAGGGGTGGCTGGCAGGCAAGCTTGGGCTCTCCAGACCCTGCACCCCACAGCTGTCTCTTGGTGTGTTTTCCTATCCTACCTGCTATCAGTTCCCCCAGGGCATCCCCCCATCCCCACACACACCAGCATCCAGGATCAGAGACAGAAATGGGCTCCCCCCTCCCTCACTGCGCTTGTAGCCACTTCACGTATAACCTGTTTCCTGTGCCAGTCCCACTATAAATCAGCCCTGAGTTCTATCTGGCAGCTCATTCTGCAGCCAAAACCTTCATTAGTTGCGGGAATGGGCCATGGAGAGAGCCTGGCCTTCACTCTGGCTGCAGTGACTCACCCCTTTGGGAAGAGCTGAGCTATTTGTCCTTGGGTGTGGGGGTGTCGCGGTCTCTGTGGTTGGGAACAGAGACTCGCTTTGTTCCCTGGCTTTGGCTTCCAAGGTGGGAAGTAGAAGGTATGCTTCCCACCCCTCCTTCACCTCCCCAGAGACTAGCTGTGGGGGAACCCTTGGGTCCTCTCCTGCCCTGCCCCTTCCTTGTCCTCAGAACAGAGCCCTGGCCTATGTTCCCATGGGAATGGGATACAACCGCCTGAATTGGTAATAGTAGGCTCAGCAAGATGACATAATGTGGCTTATGTGCAAATATCCAGGAAGAGCAATGCAAGATGTTCTTACTAAGGTGTAAATGACGGGTAGGGTGAAAAAGAGAAACCTCACGGCAGTAGCTGATGAACGAGGTAGGGAAGAAAGCACAGGGAGAGGAGGCCGAGGCTGCTAAAAGCAGGCTGAGGATTTTACCATGCAAGGCCCTTCACTATCCCTGTGGTGCCCAGACTTCTACTCTGTGCTCCAGGAGGGCTGGACTGTGGCAGAAATGGGAGAGGTTAGACAGAAAGCCAGTCCTAGGTGTCTGGGAAGAAGTGGAGACAGAAACAGGTCTGGGAGGGAGGCCTGGAGGCAGGTTGGGGCTGCCCAGCTGGAAATGCCTGCCCTCTCCATTCCCAGCGTTGGCCAGAGGCAGCTGGTGTGCCTGGCCCGAGCCCTGCTCCGCAAGAGCCGCATCCTGGTTTTAGACGAGGCCACGGCCGCCATTGACCTGGAGACTGATGACCTCATCCAGGCTACCATCCGCATGCAGTTTGATACCTGCACAGTGCTGACCATCGCGCACAGGCTTAACACTATCATGGACTACACCAGGTAGGACGTGGAAACGCAGGCAAGGGGGAACCTGGAGGGGTCGCCCGTGGCATCCGGAAGGGGCAGGGTAGATTAGGGTTATCTGAGAGTGGGATTGGCTAGGGCATGGGGGGAGGGGGTGCAGAGTAGGGTTTCCCAAGATATGGACAAGGGGCAGAAAAGAGTAGGGTAACCTGGGCGCGGGGTGGGGGGCACAATGACATTTTCTAAGACACGGGACATTTTGGAGTTACCAACATGTGGGGAAGGGACACACTGGGGCTCTCCTGACACTGTGACTTGTGCACAGCCCACCTTCATCCTACCTCCTATTAATAATGACTCCGTCACTCTGTCTGCACCTTACTACCACCCCACGTGGTAGGGGTAAGTATACCAGTTGATAGATGAGATAGCAGCTCAGGGGAGCCGCCTGATGCCTGGGTCACTGCCATGGTGGCCGGCCCTTGACAACACCATGAGAAGCTGAAGCCTGTGATGGGCAGAGCACTGTGTGTGAAACAGAGGCCTGAGTCCCAGGCTCTGTGTTGCTGCTGATTGCTGTGTGACCTTGGGCAATTTTCAAAACCTTTCTGAGACTGTTTCATATGGAAATGGTAATATGTCTCTCAGGATTGTTGTAAGGAGTCAATGAAATAATGTGTTTAAGCTGCAGGTGATCCTGGAAATGTCAGTTCCTCCCCAGCCCCTTACTCTCTCCTTAGTATAATTCTCCCTAGCACTAGTCTCTCGAATGATTAGGGAAGGGGCCTTGCCCTCAGAATCTTATGGCTTTCCTGGGGAGGCAGGCCACTCCTCCCCAGCCCCTTACTCTCTCCTTAGTATAATTCTCCCTAGCACTAGTCTCTCAAATGATTAGGGAAGGGGCCTTGCCCTCAGAATCTTATGGCTTTCCTGGGGAGGCAGGCCACTCGCCAAAAGAAATAATTGTGACCTATCCCCTCACTGTGCCAAATGTCAAGGTGTGGTGTGGGAGAATGAGGGGAGAGGGCTGGGTGACTCAGAAGCCTCCTGGAACTGAGTTGGTACTGGCCTGGCAGGCTGGGCTGCTTAGAGACTTGAGGGTTGGGATCTCTGAGAGTGGAGGCAGGAGACTTGAGCAAGTCTATGTTGAGGGAGCATAGTAGGAATACATGACTAGGCTTTCATTCTTCAGAAGCCTCCTGGAACTGAGTTGGTACTGGCCTGGCAGGCTGGGCTGCTTAGAGACTTGAGGGTTGGGATCTCTGAGAGTGGAGGCGGGAGACTTGAGCAAGTCTATGTTGAGGGAGCATAGTAGGAATACATGACTAGGCTTTCATTCCGTCAGGAAATACCTATAGGGCCAGGGGATGGACGTGGCAATGGGTCAGACTTTGTCTCTCTCTTGGAAGTGTCCTCAGACTAGCAGGGTCGTGGGAGCCAAGCCAAGAATGTCTGATGCTTGACCCTCTGTCTGTTCCATCCCTTCCCCACCCCCATTCCTATCCAGGACCTCACTGGGAGGAGAAGCGGTGGGGGAACAGGAAGTCCTGGGCCCTGGGTCCAGACAAGGGAGAAGGCTGGGCTGAAAGGATCTGTTCCCAGGCCTAATCAAAAATGCTTCATTCACCAGCAGCCCTAGGATGGAAGGTTCATTCATTCTAGTGGGACAGGCAGAAATTAATCAAATAATCATGCTACAGAATGTGTAATTAGAGCCCACAGGAAGGAAGCAGGGGTCTGTGCGTGTTGGCCAGAGGAAGCCTATCCACACAGGGTGACCAGGTCACTTTCTCTCTTAAGGAAGGGATGCACCAGCCAGGCCAGAAAGGATGAGTAAGAGCAGGGGGGTGGGGGAGGGGGAGGGTAAATGAGGTAGGAAGGGAGCTGAAACTTTCAGGCCAAGACAACACATGCCCCGAGGCAGGAAGGCACAGGAGGCTGGAGGAAAGAGGGTGAAGGAGGCAGCAGGACAAAGATGAGGGGGAGAGAAGGACAGGCACCCTGTGCTGCACTGTGGGGATCCCATGGCAAAGCAGTCAGTCCTCACCCTAAGAGAAATGAGAAGCCACTGAAGACCTTGACACTGGAGGGTGGAGGGGTAGTTTCCTGGACTGCAATTTAGCAGTGACCAGGCAGTGATGTTCACAGAAACACTCCTTCCCAGGACAAGGCTCTGAGAGCTAGTAGATAGGGAATCAGCAATGCAGCCTGCCCCCTCCTGTGGAGGAGCATCTCTCCAGGCCCATGAGAGCCTTTCCCTTCCTGCCTCACCCTGGCAAAGCAGGCCTGTTGGCCTTGCACCACGTGCACCCTGTGTGGTTGGTAGGATATTCTAACCCCAGGGCAAGGCCTGATGGGGGGTGGGGAAGTGCTGATCCACCCAGCAGCAGCAGAAGCAGCAGCCGCCGGATTTACAGCCCAAGTCCCAGTTTCCAGTGTCAGGCCTCACTGCAGCCGGTTTCCCGCTGCGTGCCTTTGTGAATTGGCACAAAGCAGATGGACACGCACAGGGCCCAGTGCGCAGGCCCAAGGCTCCCTGCGCACAGCCTGCTGAAGTCCTGTGACCCTGGTGAGGGGAAGGGCTCATTAGGGAAGGTTTTCAGAGCCCTGACTAACAGAGATGAATAGCACCTTGTGTTTGATTCTAGAAACTGCTTCATTTGCCAGGAGAGCTAACAGAACAGCTAAAAAAATAACCAGCCTTCCAAGTGTGCACATGTGGCATAGCGGCTATGTTGGGTGGGTTGACTGAAGTGGGTAGGCTGGTATATCACGGCAGGCCTAAGCAGTACACAGAAGGGCAGGGTTGGACAATGTGGCAAAAGTCTGTGCTGATGGAGACCTAACCACTTTTTTTTTTTTTTTTTTTTTTCTAGGGTCCTGGTGTTGGACAAAGGGGCAGTAGCTGAATTTGATTCTCCAACCAATCTCATTGCAGCTAGAGGCATCTTCTACGGGATGGCCAGAGATGCTGGACTTGCCTAAAATATAGTCCTGGGATTTCCTCCTGGCCTCTCCTGGTGAAAACCAGGAAGGGAAATGTTACCAAATGTGTCCACAGAATGGACTTGATGGCAAATGCTAGGGGCATTTGTTAGATTTCACCTCTATAAAGTACCTCACAGAACAACCGTGCTAAATACTTCAGATGAGAAGTGAGGCCCAGGAGGTGAATGACATGCCCAGGGTAGCAGCTAGTTTGAGGCAGAGCCCAGACTAGTACCTGGGTTTCAAGATTCCCAAACTAGTGTTATTTTCACACTGCACTGCTTTTAAACAACCATTTCATGGAATGACCTCCCTCCCCCTGTGATTTTTGATATTTTCTAAAGTATTTTTTGTAATGAAACTATTTCCTCCCAGAACAGAAGACTGCCAGGTCAGGCTGGCCCTAGCAACTGAGCCCTGTACTCTACGGTACTGCTCGAATCCATTAAAAATGGAGTACTGATGAAATAAAGCTGTGTGGTCAACAATGTACATACCCCGATGTAGCCTTTTTCTGCCTGTCCATGAGGTATGAGGATTAGGACCTTTGGAGGAGGCCGGGAAGAAAGAGGAGAGGCAGAGGTGGACTTTATGTACATCCACATGGCTGCAGTGATCTGAAAACTTCAAACCCAAGAGTTTTTGGCTGGTAATATTGTCTTCACAGCCAAAATTCACTGGGTAATTGCCAGTAGTTCCTGCTCTGCTATGCAGGTACTGTAAAAAGCTGAGAAAGGCCCTGAAAACTGACCTGTCACCTCTTGGGAAAGCTGCTGTGAACACCTCCATGTTCATGTCATCCCTCAGCCTTCTAAGCCTGTTTCTCTAGGGGCTGAAAACTGTATGGTGCTTTTCCTTGCTCCTTTAGAATTCTGTTCCGCAGGCTGGCCCGTGGCTTACTTGGTAGAGTGCGGTGCTGATAACACCAAGGCCACGGGTTCGGATCCTATATAGGGATGGCCGGTTTGCTCACTGGCTGAGCGTGGTGCTGACAACACCAAGCCAAGGGTTGAGATCCCCTTACCAATCATCTTTAAAAAAAAAAAAAAAAAGAATTCTGTTCCAGATAGGGCCCATAACCATGGAGGCCTCCGAGTCATTAATTTTCTTCAGTCCAGCTGAAGCTTAATGCGTGAGCACAGAGAAGCCCAGAGGCTGCCCCCTGCCTTGACAGTCCCAGATATGAGGGGGTAAATTTGCTTTCTTGAGCAAGCCAACAGTTTATTTTCTGCAGGTTAGAGTCTGCCTGGCACAATGCCTTGTATTAGAATGGATTTCTTCTCTTTGTTACCTTACTAAGTTTTCTGGTCTTTGCCTCACTCTCATTTCCTATACCTTTATTATTGGTATGATGTGACTTGACTGGTTGTGGGTGATGGTTTCTTTTTTTCCCACCCTAAATGGTGGGGGTATGATAGGGTTAGTAGATAACAGAGATGGCGCCTTTGATCTGGTTTTCCTATATGCTCTGGATTGGCCTGTGCTACAGGACCATTTGTTAAAGGTTAATCACGTTTTTTTTGGCAGGCTGTTTCTGCCCGGGATGTGTATAAGAATACGGAAGATAACCTCCATCCTTGTGATAAAGCAAGTATGAATACACAAATGCCCGAATTATCCTGCCTCTCCTTGGTGCTAAGAAAAGGTCTCTGCTATGCTCTCTGATTTATTAGGCCAATTTGGCATGACGTCTGCTTTGTGAGGCTCTAGCTGGCCCAAACCAACAGAAAAGCAAATTCATTCAGCATCATTCTCAGCTAAAAATCTGAAAGTGTAAGGCTGTATTTCCTCTCCTGTCTTGGGAATTTGCCTCTGAGCTCATTGAGGCCCTGACAGGTGCTGACAGCCCAAAGGAAAGGCTCAGTTGTGTAAAGGAAATAGGATAATAACAAAATGTGGTTAATAGGGGATGACCTTCATCTAGCTGGCTCATCTACTCCAGGGAAATGAAACTGACTTGTGAACTGGAAGGAAAGATGCTACACAAAATATCTGTCTCCAGGTGCCACTGACAGGGCATGAACACTGCACCAGCAGCAGAATAGCAGAGGCGCAGGTGGGGAGCGGGTCCTTCTATTCTCCCTCCAGAGCATCTGGTCCCTGGGACTGTCCAACAATATGAACCCCTATGATTAGAAGTACAGTGCTGTTTAGGAGGCCAAAATTAAATAACATAGGCTCAGTCAGTTAATATTTAATTTTAATAATACTTGTTATGTTTGAACTGTCAGCAGTGCACAAAAAAAAAACCTTCAGTGAATGTTTACACACAGTGAACACATGCTTTAAATATGCAGTGGAGGAAGAGGGGTGAATTTACAGTTAACAAAGCTAAAAAAAAATCCTTGTTATAAATTACACAAAGCATATAAAAATATTTCTCTGAATGCATAGATTAAGACTTTAAACTCACCTACCAGCAACTGTGCAGTCTTATCCCAATGCTATATGCAGAAGTCAGTTGACCACAGAGGATTTTATAAAGGAGAAGAGAGACCAGCATAGGGCAGAGCCACATCAGACCCATCTCTCACCTGAGACACCAAAACCCTTGCTTGCCTCGGTTTCTGAGCCTGGGAAATGCCCTGGAGCTACTCCTCTGTAGGCCACCTCCCAGCCAGGTCCTCCACCGCGTCTGAGAGCCTCTAATAATCTGGGTGGCTGAGTTTTTTTTATTATTATTATTATTATTTATTTATTTTTTGGGGGTGGCTGAGTTTTAACCCCAGTAATTTACACATGAATTAATACTGAGTTTATTCCTTCTAGGATAGAACCAGACTTAATTGTATCAGTAAATTGTAACTTTTTTCAAAGCAAAGAAAAAAAAAGGTGACTACATCTAGATGAACTAGCTTCCAATTTGTTGAAACACAAGGGTGGTTTCTTCTTTAAAGCACTCCAGAAAAGAGGGTAATAAGTAACCTTCACTCTGCTATGCAAACACTGTACAAGGGTGAGTAAGTCACCAGCATAATTGCTAGAATACAATTAAGTCACTAAACAATGTGACTTCATGAAGTTGGCCTTGAAAAACACCTTAACATCATTTCAGCATTTAGGCAGCAGCAGGAGGCCATTATCTTAACACAACATTCTCCTCCACTGACATCTTCTGCACGTTCTCACTCAATTGTAGTGTTCTAATAAAATTAAGTTAACACAGTTAGGAAGTTAAGTTTCTTTGGAAACTATAGGCACTATGGGGAAAAAGCTTCTTAAGACAGCAGGGATGCTCTTTAGCAGCTGGCTTCAAACCCCTGCTCTCCTGTTTGTCTAAGTGTGCTAGTTTTTATTTCTAAAGTGAAGCTGTTTGTTTCAACAAGACAGTGGCTTTTCTTTTAACAGTAATGACACTGAAGAAAAGGAAAAGAATCCTTGAATGCATTCTTTAAAACAATTCTTATGCCAAGCTCAAGTTTTGTTTTTCAGAACAAAGTCTGGTGGACTCAAATTGACTTTGTTAAGTAGATCGGTTGGGGGAGGGGGGAATCTCAAAGATCAAACAATTTGTTTACAAAAGCAACAGATTCCAGAGTTGTGTAAAAATCCTAATAATTTCAAAATAACCTTTATCTTTGATACAAAAATAAAGATGTTAACTCCTTTAGCTCAGTTTCCCACAATAACCTTTAAAATAGCAACAGATTCAGTCTCAAAAATTGCTTTTCATTTCTGGTGGAAAATGAAAGGGGAGAACATGGACTGGCAATGTTTGTGCTCTTCTCATTCGGTGCAATTAAATACACAGATGACAGAAATCGCTTCGGAGTAAAAAAGCGCTTGCTCTTTTAGAAAGCATCAGAGAGCCCTCTAGTGACCATGAAAGGGAGTCAGTGCAGAGATGACTGTCTAGAGACACAGAAGCCTCCATGAGTGTTTACAAAGGAAAAAGTGGGGGAGGGGAAGCTCTTTTGGTTAACAGCATATATACAATTAGTTAGCTGTATTCTTAAATACTTTAAACCTGAGTGACACTTACAAACATGTTATATGAAACCTCACAGCCATACTAAAATTCATTTGTCTAGTACCTGTGCTTTCCCCAGTCTTCCTCTCTAGTCAGTTCACAATTTCAGGAGAGCTGTGAGCGCGCAACACCAAGAAAAGCACAGCCAGCCTTCAGGTGCACATCAACAGGAATGACTGGAAACAGTCTCTGCACGCTCTCAGCTTCTGCTCAGACAACTTCCTTACATTCTCCACATAAGGCACACTGGATATAGAACCTTTGGCTTCTGCCTCTCCAGACCACTTCTCGGCTGTTCAAAGTTTCAAGCGATAGGTTTATTGTGCACCGAGAGGCTTGGAAGAGTGGCACCGCTGCTTGGGGGTCAGGGGCCTCCTACCCAGGCAGAACGATGTTAATGTATACCACGCAGTGGCACCAGGGGCCCTCCCGGGCATACAGGCATTTAGATCAATGGCTTGTCCTTGGCCCAGAGGTGACAAGCACTGTCACAATAGTCAGTGATAAAAGTCCCTGCTGCATTAGTAAGTCAGTTTTGAAGCTCTCCTGTTATAGCAAGGCCTTTCAGTCAGTGTGGACGCAGCATTTTTGAACAGAAAATTATTTTCACTTATCATTAGAACCAGTTCCAGCTCTTGGAAATCTTGAAGTCGAGCCACATCTTTGTCCTTTCTTAACAAAGTATTGGGTAACTTTCTAATCTTCTCCACTTGATCTGGATTAATGCCCAGCTCACAGCAACTCACTCTGAGCAATTCTTGGTAGGTGAGCTCCTGTCGGTCTAGT